TATTTTAATTGGATAAGGCTTTGTCGTTTCTAACACGTATCAGACATGTATCCGTGTTTGACACATATCCGATACAGCATGCCTTCATAAATAGGTGTATCGATGCAACATAGGCATGAGATGATGGGAAACAAGGGAGGTATGGGAGAGATTGACATTTTTTTATTTTAATAATAATATAATAATAATAAATATATTGATATATTATTATTTATGCTGGATACATATTTGTCTATGGATGACACCCAATCTTATTACCAGGCGAGCTTTCCAGGTACACTTAAGAACCTATGTGAGAATGGAAAGAAAAAAAGAGGAAAACTCTATAGTGAATAATCCAGCAACTCAAGTATCTATAATACCAAAAAGGTTCAAAATGTCCCTCTTCACCCTTTGTTTAGCGGGATCCCAGGGCTGCAGGAAATGTTACATCAATAAATAAATAAAAAATACATAAGATAATGACTCACAATACATATTACTTCATACACATGTCATGCCCTAACTAACTTGATGGTTTAATGTTTATCTTACTTTTATTTCATGTCTTAGGGAGAGACCAGTAGTATTAAGTGCTTCAGGCCAAGTATATTGATGAGTTCTAAGCAGAAAGGGTTGCAGCTGATTAATATTTTGAGGTCATCAACAACTAGGGGTGGACTTCAAGATTGCTTAGTAATAGGAGGCGAGTGCGTTTTGGTTGCAAGCATGATGGGCTCCACGACCGGCTGATTATAATGGGCGAGCTAGAACTCTCTTGGATGGAAGCTTTCTTATAGTTGAGATAACATGAGGTATATAGTGATTCTCGTCACATATAGAGGAGAATGACTGCCCCTTTAATGGAGGGTGAGTGGTGAATTGAGTAATTCACGAGAACCCATGACTGACTTGTGAAAGAAGACTCCCCTTCGAGTGCTATGTCGAGTTGAACCTTGTGGTCCTTAAGCGAGTTCCCTCATAGGCCCATGAGTTACGAGTCCATTTGCTATGACCTGCTGACTACTCGTTGAATATCTAAAAAAGGCATATGCAATTATACAATTTCATTTTATTTTTATTACATATACCAATATATATTTTACAAAAAATTTGTCGTCATGTGCAAATTGATTTCATGTCATCTCCACACACACTCATGCGCAATTTTTTTTAAATTTCATTGCACGGAGACCACAAGCAATATGATTGTCAATCTTACATGTCTCAGCCATTTTGAATGTATCAGTGCTATCCATTTTGTGAACGAATGTCGTTTGAGCAACTTTGACTTTTGGTTGACGAGTTTTAGATACCTTTTGCATGACATTGTATCTTTAACTCATTTCACCATGTTTTGCTAAATCGACTTCAAGGTGCCTATCAACATCAACATCTCATGCTCAATGATAGCTGGATTAATAAAAAATTTGAACTAGAGATGTTAACATTAAAATGCCCAAAATCCCATAGCAAATTATTTGGGTCTTAAAACCTAATAAAAATATAAAATCACAGATTTCTAAAAATTTATAAACATACAAGAAAAATTTGAGACTCAGAGGCAACAACCATTCAACCATTGCAAAAGTTTGTCAAAGGTGACAAATTTAAGATTAACATTACCTCACAAAAATGCCAATATCATATCAAATGTATTGTTATGATCTCTCAAAAGAACTCACGTTAATAACATCATGGAAAGTGTCCTCTAGCCAGGTATTTTTGTCAAAAAATGGCAACATAAATAATTATTAGGATTGGGGCCGCCAAACCGAGTGGTTCTAGAGCCATGCAACACTATTAAATTATAATCACGGCTAAACCAGTAAGTTCTTCAAAGGCTTAAAAATCAGAATAGTGAATCATAAAATGCTATAAGGCAAAAAGCTTTCTATCTATGAAGGTTGAATTAAATTGTCCCCTAAGACAAGATTTTATCCAAGATCTATAAGATTTCCTCGGACAACTTAACCAATGGCTCCTTACAAGGATCCTTTGTCCAAATTAGGTTGACTACATCCACTAAGAAAATAGAATAAAATTCATGACAATTTGGTATGACAAAACCATGAGATCTTAATTGAATTCATCATCATTTCTTTCACCATCTACTTTAAGTTAAAGGCAATAATTTTTTTTTCCTAAAATCAAAATAGTTACTACTATAAGCTAAATCATTAGCCCCTAACAATTAGCCTTAATTGAAAATTCCATCTCATAATTAAATGAGGTAATTAAATATAAGAGCTTGTGATACCTAAAACTATATCATAGAGTCCTCATAAATAATGGTGAGATTTTTTAGTAGGGTCTTAACTACAATCCAATCTATCCACCAGAAATTTCACCTATAACAAAAACTCTCTTTGAAGATCCGGGCATGTGAATTATTGGAGCCCACAAAAATACCCCCAAATTTTTTTTCTTCAAGTCAATTAATAGTTTATGCGAATTGACTAGTGTTTTATCATGCCATTAACTAACACAGTTTAATTGATTAGTGAAAACTACTTTGCATATATTTGCATCGCATCCTTATTACCCTACATCATTAGCTATTGAGTTTAGGTGATGTTTGACTTTGCTAGGTTGTTGATGTGGATGTTGAAGCCAGCACTAGCAAGTGATTTCTTAAGACTTGAAAGACATTGGATGTGATCATATTTGTTCCATAAAACTTGGAACATATTTCCATTATGGAGGTTGGAAGAACCGCTCAAAGAGGGATTGCACATAGGGATGGGATATTATGATATCTCACTTATCCGTGATGTACGTTTATTCAAGGTTGACAGCATGCTAATACGTTTATTCAAGGTTGACAGCATGCTAATGATTGATTGGATTTATAATTTGGTTCACTATGTTAGTTAAATTAATCTTATGATCATCACATATGGTGGGGCTTTTTGGTTGCGCATCTTTAATCTTATAGGTAAATGGTTCATTTCTAGCTACAAGTTGATATCATTTCATCTTACTCATAGGCATGATTTACAGGCTTGAAATTTGATAAATAGGCTCTTGTACCTTACATGCTTGTAAACTAATGATGGAAAGAGATCACAAAAAAAGCATACTTGCGAACTCATCCTAGCCACAGCAGTTGGAGGCAAAATTAATCGAATGAGTTGTTGTAATCCATGTGTAATTATTTTCCATGATTATCCTATTTTTGAGTTGGTGTGATCAAATGATTAAATGACATTTGCATGGTGCATATGAGGTCAACTTAAAGTTTTACTTTTCTTATTCTATGATTTATAATCATTATGCCGTTATTTTCCGATATGGAGATGTATGGGATATATTAGGGATGTAAAAAGGAGTCCTGATGTAATGCTTGTTGAGGTGAAGGACCTTCTGAGAATTACTAGCTAATCAGAACAGACAAGCATTAAAGAAATATGTTTACTTTTTACGGAAGGCTTAGCTCATGTCTCTAGGTGTCAAGCATATTTGTATTTTGTATTCTCTTATAGTCAGAAGAAAACAATCAAAATGGTTTCATCTTAGGTGAAACTGACAACTTTGGGGTACTAACCTTACAAACAAGATTTAAAATTACACAATTAGGTATTGAGGCATTTTTCATTCATGAGGCGAGGCGTAGTAAGCCTCAAAAGTATTTTCAGGCATAAGTCTCAAAATTCAAAAATAGCGTAAAGTGAAAATGAAAGTTAAAAGTGATTTTTTATATAATAATCAAATAATATATTAAAAGATAATATATTAAAATTCTATTAAACTATACAGTTATATATATATATATATATATATATAGATTTTAAAACATATAAGAGATGAGTCCAAACATCACAATAACAAAACAATATAAAATATAAGAATTGCATAAAAGTACTGTATAACATTAAGTTCAACTTCTAAATTCCATCTTTCCCAATTCCCTGCTCATTTATATTTAGTTTCTAGAGAAAGATTACTATACCAACTGATATATCATTTCACTAATAAATAAATAAGAAGGATAAGGCATACATCTCAAGCCAAAGAGGTTAGTCACACCTCAGTTAACTAAGGTGTCACAGGAAATGATCGAAGCATACGCCTCAGGATATTTTCTTCAAAATTGCACTGTGGCGAGCTTTATATTGCGCAATTTTAAACCGTGAACTCAAAGATGACTTCAAATATAGATATGTATAATAACCAAATTTGTTAGTTTTGAATGTCAATTATAACAAAGTATTTTACCCACTTGGAGCTAGAGTCTCTTTGGGCCTTAAAAATTTTAAGGCTAATTTTATCGTTTATGCAGTGCAAGCTTCAATTATAACAATGCTCATATTAAAACCTATGAAAAAGTAGAAATAGTTTTTGAAGGGAAGAGAGTCTAAAGAAACAAATGTTTAAGAGCTATGCATGTATCGAGGAGTGCATGCATGCATGAATATGTATGATTCCAAATGACTGATTTCTATTCAATTTTTATTATGTCCATAGTTTATCTAAGGGGCATATCTGTTAAGTATACATAAATCAACATCTAGATTGGAAGTATTTGACTGATATTTGCAGAAATTATATCATTTTGCTAACAATTCGTTTACAAGGATGTGAATCAGGACATCTAAACCTGAAGTTATGTCATTGTTGAATAAGGTTCATAAGTAGCCATTATTGATTATGAATTAACTAATATGCCAAAAAAACCCAATAATGACGGATGATTCAAGGATGCTCCAATGACCCAAGGTTCTATGGAGGTGCAATGCCAAGGCACTGTTTAAGTATCTTCATAACACTATTGCCTCTGAAAACTCGCAACGAAGGCATCCTAACCAAGAAGAAAGTAACACAAGCAAAATTGAAATATGTATTCACAATTAATTTGTCCAACTAAAATGTTCCTACCTTTTTTTTAATTTTTTTTTTTTAATGTTCCTTCTACCTCTTTAATCAAATACAATGGTAAAAGATAAACACTTTTTTGAAATTAGAAAGCATAACATCAATATGAAATAGAAGGGTGTTAAAAGTACAAGAGAGAATCATACAGGTAGTTGATATTGTGAGTCGGATAACCGACGGCCACCTCTCACAGCAAAATGTGCACAGCCTGGATATTTACCATCCCTGGAGTAAAGATCTAAGTACAGGAACCCCAAATCACCCTGTTTTTATTTCAAGAAAAAAAAAAGAGTTTAGTTGAATAGAAAGGCTTATATAAAATAAAGAGAAAAAATATATATAAATTATCTTCCAACGGTAAGCAACATCAAAGCTGCAAATGAAGCACAAAACCATGCTACCAAGGAGCATTCAAACATACAACTTAAGCAACATCAAATCTGCAAATGAACACAAAACCATGCTACCTAGGAGCATTAAAGCACACAACTTCAGCTCAAGGAAAGCTTTGGACCAAACAAACTCAGCTAGTTGTTGCAAGGTTAAGTAAATGGAACTTCACTAATTTTGCAAAGGCCGTAAGCATGGTACTCACAACTTTATCATAATTTCGAAGGAGCACCTTCAAAATTGAGCACACATATTGATCTAAAAGGCACTATTCATTAAATCTCATAGACTAGGGTAAGAACTGAGGATAAGTATTATAGTGGTGGCTAAGATATCTATCAGGACAGATACCTTAATGGGTATCAGGCTTACATGTGCAAGTGCACAGGCGACTAGATCTTGATGCAGATCGAAAGTCTATTACCTATACAGCTTCTGTTGCAATTAGTGTTGAACTCGGCAAATTGAACAAAAAAAGTAAGCCTTCTTTAATTAAGAAATCTCACAAACAACTAATTTAAGAAACACCTATAGAAAACGATAGTTCAATTCAGAACAAAGTGGCAACCGATAGAAAAGCAGCTTAAAAGCATAAATATGCAGCGTCCTAATTAAGATTTTTTTAGATTAAACCATACACCTGCATGCATTGAGTGCTGCTAATGATAAAAAGAACTTGACTGCAAAGAAAGTAACTCTTGATGTAAGGTTCAGCTGTCATATGCCACTTCTAGTGCCGTGGCTTGCCAAAAACAGTCTTCAATGCCAAGACTGAGAAAGACAACTTGAGGCCTGTAGAGTGCCGTGCAAAGAAGCTGCTCCAACAAGAGTTCAGTGCCTCCGTGAGAGCCAAAATCCATGAGTGAGCCTATGATGGTCAAATTAATAGCTATTAGTGTAAAAATAAAGTCTTACTGAAGTGTAGGATGGTGGTGGGTTTGTACCGCAGGCATCCCAAGTTCAAGGCTAGTTTCTTAATTAGGGGGTTCACCCCTTGAGCTTTATGCTCTGAGAGGAAAAAACATGGAATTAAAAAACTTAACAAAAGTTGATTGGAGCACCCCAAATTATAGGCATGGTAAAGGCAGTGTTGAAATTTAGAGTGGTCGTTGTTGGGAGTTTCTAATCTAGTGCCACCTCTACTCTAAAAAGCACCCTAAACTGATATGCCCTCTGATGGAGAATAGTTTGGCCATCTAGCAAATCTGAGGAACAAATCATAGTTATCTACAGTGAGGAGTTGTTGCTTTTCATTTTTGAACACTCTACTTTGCTCGCTCGCTCGATCAAACTCGTTGGCTGAGCTCGCCCATGCTCACAGCCCGCTCATCTGCACAATCCTGTTTTCCCGCGTGATCATGAGCGCCCGTGCTTACATTAGGGTCGGTGAACCAACAAACGTGGTTCTCACAAGAGAAGAGATACCCTTAATTCTTGTCGAATTAACAGGCTTAGTAGCAAGGAAGCAGTCCATCAGTAGCAAGGAAGAAGGTGGCAGATACCAACGAGGTAGGGGGCAGCCAACTGGACAGTGCAAGCCAATACTATCGATACATGAGCTTCTTTGTGTGAAATGGATATCGAGAGATACAAAGGGTCACGATGTATTAATAAGAAAATGAGTTTATTTTTAAATACCTAAATTCTAAAAAATTTGAGAGTCACGCCTCATAAGTATTGAGACGAGGTGTGCCTCAGGCAATAAAAGATGTACTCCTCACATTATAACCTTGAGATGCATGCCTCAAGGCAAAAGAAACAAAATCACGATGAGGTGCATCTCAAATTGCTCAATTTTAAACCATGACTACAATAAACCTGTAAAAACAACCTGCCAATGACTGAAAAAATGAGAAAGATGATAGGATAATAAGAAATCGTTAGACTAAACAACAACAAGACTTTCTACCACATCACCAAGAAAATGAGTATTTGAACCAAAGAAAGCTGTTGCACACTGATAATTTTGGAAATTTCCAACCACAACCGTGGCCTGCAGGAGTCTTCAAGATTACTTGCAATTTGCGGATATTTTTCTAGATTTCTGAAACCTCAGAGGTTATACCTACTAGAAAGTCTGACAGTCTTTCAAATTGAATCCAAGGAGAAATAAGACAATATTAACTAACAAATGAACAACTGAGAACCTGATGAAAGAACTTTATTCAAGTCAAGAAGATTGCAGAATCCCTTGGTCTGAAGATGATCCTAAGATGCTTCCCTACTTGATCGTTGTTGCAACCTGAGAAAAACAGCAGGAATGCATGTGTTGGAAGATAGTAGGTTACCTTAGGTAATGTTTTCAATGTCCCTGGCCTTCAAGAACTCTTTTGCCCACACCCAGGTGATGCCATCTTCCATGGATGTGCCCGATTGTAGAAAGAATACCAAGGGAAACAAGAATACCAAGGGGAAGGGTTGTTCGGCCTTTTGCCATGTCAGGTTGTGTACAACCACCGATAAGGCTTTACCAGCCAGTCCCTGCCACCCGGGATAACCAAATTCAGGAATTCGGTTACAACTCACCTTCTACTACCATCAGAGAAAGTTTTTAGAGTGTCACATTAATTGTAGCAGAGTCCTAGACACCACTAAGATCATCTTTCACGTCTCTCCAAATTGGCAATCCTCATACTCGGGAAAACTGGAAAACTAATTCAAACAAAAAACTGTCCTCTAACTAGAAAGAAGGGGTATATATGGGCTCATCCTTAAACAATACCGCAATTGCCCTATTTATAGAATTACCTAATCAAACAAGAATGTACAGTATAAAACAAAATCCTAATAAAAGAAAGGTTAATTACAAAAAGTATCCCCAAGACAAAAAATAAGATTAATAACTATATCAATTGGGGAATAAGAAATTGTCATTGAAACTCATGATGATGTTTAGCATACTCAGGGGGATAAAAGAAAGGTGGTTTCTAGTTATTTTGAATGAGTTTTGTTGCAGCCTAAAATGATTGATGAAGCATAACATCATTAGATTTTTTGAGATAAGATGCACTATCAATAATAAGATTCTTAATGTTATTATTGATAGAGGGAAAATGATAGTGTAGTCTCTAGCATTAGTTAAGGCTTTAAATTTAAAGGATTGAGAAGCAAGCTTCACCATATAAAATTGCATGGATCAAGAAGGGCCTAGAAATTCAGGTGATGGTAATTTGTAAAGTCCCTTTATCAATTAGCAAGCAATAGAAGACTGAAGCCACGTTAGATGTGGTTGTATGGATGCATGTCATGTTCTACTGGGAAGATAGTGGGATTGTGATGTTTACACTGCTTACAAATGTGGGTCCGAAAATGCACGCAACTATCTCTATGCCCTTTTTTGTTCGGAGAGAAGAATTTTAACGAGTTTAGGATCCGGGATAAGTTTTCATAAGATAATTAAACCATAATAAGAAAAGTTACCCTTTAAAACATTAAAATAATATTTGAACATTTTCCTTCTTCAACAACAACAACATCAAGCCTTTGTCCCACTACATGAGATCGGCTACATGAATCGTTTTTTGCCATTGTGTCTTGTTAAAAGTCAAATTCTCATTTAAATCTAATAAAGAAAAATCATTTCTAAAATTTTCTAACCAAGAATTTTTAGATCTACCTCTACCTTTCTTAACATAAGTCAAATCTAATACCTCAACTTTCCTAACCGGGTCATCGGAAGGCCTCCGTTTACTGTGACAAACCATCAAAGGAGACTCTCTCTAATCTTATCTTCCACTGGAGCTACTCCAACCTTTTCACGTATATGCTCATTTCGTATTCTATCTCTAAGAGTAAAGCCACTCTTCCACCTAAGCATCCTCATCTTTGCAACACTTAACTTAGTATTATGCTTTTCTTTTAATGTCCAACATTCGGCACCATAAAGCATTGCAGGTCTCACCACTATCTTATAGAATTTTCCCTTAAGTTTGAGGGGGACTTCTCTATCGCAGAACAAGCCCGATGCATTCCTCCACTTCAACCATCCAACTTGAATTCTGCTGATAATATCCCCATCTATTTCACCATCACTCTGAACAATAGATTCAAGATATCCAAATCTAATGCTTCTAATGATAAACATTGCAAAATATATTTATATCAAAATTTTCAAAAACCAAATCTAATGCTTCTAACGATAAACATTGCAAACAACTTACACCAGAATTCTGCTGAAGACATATCTCTCTCAAATGTACACAAAATGAAGGAGACCATCATTCTACAAAACCTTGATTCCAATAGCAGCCATTGATTGCAGTTGTTAACAGCAGAGAATTCAAATTCATTAAACACAGAAACCAAAATAGATTACAGCTATTCCATTTCACTACCATAATAGCTAAAAAATCAGCACTGAAACATATAGGCAGACCTTAACAATGGCTGAACTGAACAAGTAAAAGGCCATGGCTTCAGTATTGTATCTGGAATCTCAGGGATGTCCATTGCCATCCCACTTTTCTCCTCCACCTGCTTCAGAGTGGTGTTCAGAAACTTCAGCCTTTCAGTCAGTTCCATCACTCGGCTCCTCATCGCTGAATTCTCAGCATCAAGCGTAGAACACTTCGTACTGATCAGATTCACCTGGTTCAAAATCCCATCGTTTTCTTCCTTGAACTGAGAGATTTGGCTCATCATATCATCCAAATGCTGCTGCTTTTTCATCCGAGATCTCCTCGCAGATTCCCTGTTGGACAACATCCTCTTCCGCTTCCTCTCATCAATTTCCTCAGTCGTCATCTCTCTCAAAACAAGAAAATCTTGAGCAAAAATAGAGATCGGGATGACTTGAGAATCAGTTATTTGGAGCAAAGGTGAGCTAATTCATGAGATAACATAGAAGTAGTAGAGGAAAACAACAGAGAAGGACTGAAGAAGGCGAATCCTCTGAAAAAAGGAGCCGGAGTTCATAAAGGCCTGAGATGGTGGGTGTTCTAACCTAAATCATCAAAAAGATCGGTCAGATTTACAGAACGAACGGTATGGAGATGGAAAGAACTAGGCTTTGATCATATATATAAAAGCTAGGTTTAGAGATACCACAAAGAAGAGCTCTTGGCATGTAAAAGTCGTCGGAGTATATATATATATATATATAAACAAGTTGAAGCTGCTAGACCAAAAAGTAGTATATTATGCAACATAAACGGGTCATATACCTCTTGAGGATGATGGAGTAGCAATTTCATGACATCTGGATGCCATGACTCTCCGGGAGAAAACGGCATGCTGCTGAATGTCACGCCAAATACGGACTGGACCAACAATTTCAAGCCCTCAAGACACTGGAAAGTTGGAAAGTATGATGCAATTACCTGTTCAAACATTGTCACATTACTGGTTCTAATGAGGAATGGCATGTGATAGCCTCAAATAGGAATGGTTTAAATTACGTACTCTTTCAGGAGAAACAACAATAAGACACAAAATTTAAAGAATAATTAAGAAAAGGAAAAAAAAACGAAACTATGTAACCCATAAGGAAATGACTAGTGAATACAAAGAGAAATTCATTGCATCAGCACCAATACTCTAGTACGGTGTCTGTAGCATATAATAATTCTCTTCCTACCCAGTAAACAAAACCATTCATAGTGAACACCGATACATAAACAAATAGAAACATGCATGTACCAGGCCATGTATACATATAGGCATGCAACCAGCAAAAAGAATCAAAGATTCGACATACGCATGGTGTGTGCAACCTGACAAAATCAGCATTCTCTGAGGAGCTTTTATTTTTTCAGTGGTCAAGGCAAGGCACACTAAAATAAAAGTCTCCAACTTGATTTAAAATAACCACTAGGTCCAAAAGTTTACTCAAGTAAAAAAGTCAACTTTTCCAGTAATAAGCATGCTTAAGTTAATCTTTAAAAAATTATGATGTGCTTTCAAGAAAAGACATACATAAAATTCAAAATATATTTGAAATTCATGAGACTCATTCTCAAGACTTTAGGCTTATTGCATACCTAACTCTGCCCTCCTCTCCTACCTCAGTCAACACCGAAATCCTACTGATAAACTAAAAGTCTCTTGCAAATTGTCTGACATGCTAGACTTCCATCTCCATAAGTGTCCACTTCTTGCACAATTGAGAAAAATCGACCTCTTCACAATATACTCACAAAAAACGGAAATTACAACCTGACTTTCAAAGTGGTAATTTCTCTTCTATCAGTATACCACACAAATAGAATGGCCACCACTGAACACATCCCCAACATGGCCAATGGATGGACATTGATAACCTACTAGTGATACCCACAACCAGCCTGATTATCCTAATGCCTAATGAGTGCACATAAAAATACAAATAAAGGCAGATGCATTAAATAATCAAAATCAAATTGGTAACTGCACTAGACTTACTGAAGAATCTAAATCACATGCCGAAGATTTCATCCTTCCTGTGAGGTAAGCCTCATCCCATGGCTCTAGATCTGCACGCAGATCATTATCCACTGTCCTCTTGTAATCCTGTATTAACTTAAACTCCTACAACAGAACAAGAAATCACTCATCAGAGAAGTATATGGATTACTAAAGTAATTTAACGTGAATTTTTCTTTAATCCTAAATTATACCGCATCAGCCCTAAGCCTGACCATATTGCTTAGAGTGAGCAAAAAATCCATGACAACATCAGGTGATGCAGCCATATTTGGACGAATTGCAAATTCAGCATAAGATCTACACCCCATTATCTGCGCATGTGAACCAACAAAGGAAAAGATTAAAGCTTTCATTATTCTTTTTTCACGCACGAGGAACATAATAAGTGATCAAAAGCCATTTTAAACTCGACTAAAACTGTAAAATGATAATGTTCAGGTTAGAGGAGAAAATACAAGATACATAAAATTTAAGTAATATTCGTATCAGACCTCTTTTAAAACTCATATGGTCCAAAAAACATCAGGGGGTGGGACAAAATATGATCAATAATATGCTTGTATTCACAGGGTAAGATTATGGCAATGTTTGGCTTGCGATACTAAATTCCTATCAAAGTTTAGTTCAATTGAGCCCCAAAAGCCACACCCCAGCAACGTTGAATCCTTACCAACAGTTTGAGTTGTTTGATCTCATAACCCTCAAATCCAAAAAGTTGACTAAACATTGTATCAGCAAAGGAAATACTAGATCTGACAACTAGCCCACACTCAAAGGTTGTTAATAAAAGTAAATTTACTGAAACGAGAAGGTTAAATGAAATTGAATGAATGGAAGATTTTTTTGGAAATAGAGATCATACTAGAATTAAGTTAATTGTCATAAATTAAAATTATGGGAGAGAATAATTGAGCATAGGTTACAACATAATATGATGTAGTTTCAATGGAATCTTTATAGTGAAGGTAGCAAGTTGATTGATGTTTTTTTAGAATGATGATGAAATGCTTATTTGGTGGTGGTGAAGCTGCAATTCATGTTTTTGGACAGATTTGCATCTGAAACTTATAAGCACTAAAAAAATTTGTTTTTCTTTTAAAAAATTAATGAGAAACTCCATATCAAAGATTTGAGATGTTAGGGACCTAATGGTAGTGTTTTTATAGATTTTGGATCAGTGGTTGAGAAGTTTGAATCTTTTAATCTGATTGCTCACACAAGAAAATTGTCACTTTACATTGGAATTTTGGGAATGGTATATTAGGGTTCTTAAGAAGTTGAGGCCTTGGAAGGTTATGAGAGATCTGTGTGGCTATTTAGGAGAATTTTGGAGAGTTTGGATATGTTTGGAGGCAAAGTGATGCAAAAATTGAGGCTAAGTAGAGGAGATGAAAATTGTATCGGGAAAGATGAGGAAAAATGATAATATGAGATAATTAAGGACTCACTAAAGCCCTCGAGGATCAGCCACAAAGTTTCACCAATGATTACAACAACAACAAGCTTTTCCACATGAAATTTGCACAAGCAAAAATTTTTTTTTATTCAATGAATCAAAAAATACAAATCAACATCCTATTTATAGGCTTTTATAAGCTTATACAACTTTGGAAAACCTTAAGAGCCAATAAAATACTATTACATAGATTGATGACATGTACTAATACTAAAAACAATATAGTAAAGGATTTAAAATTAAATTAAAAGTTTCCAAATATATGAAAATTCGGATTGGCCATAGAGAGAGAGAGAGGGAGAGAGAGAGAGAGAGAGTAGAGCGGTCGTGAAATCAATCAATTTATGAAGATCTTTATCTTTTTAACTTGTATGACCCACCTACCCATCAAGGGGCCTTAAATTAAGCTTTTAAATTATCCTCCCATGATCTTAAAAATATTTTGGGATGTTCATGGGCTTGCATGGAGAGTTTTGCATGATAACTGGCCCAAATTCTGATGATGGGCCTTAGTTTGTGATATTATCATTAGTCTTTGTTTTAGTGCTGCAACAGCACCACCAGACCTTAAAGAACTTTACTCTGCAGAGTTAAAATCCATGAATTCATCAACAAGACCCAGCATAAGCTTTTCTGTAAGATTAATTTTTCCATCTAATCAAAAATCTAGGTGATGAACATTTATCACTGAGAGTTTTTCTGAAATTATGCCATTAATATCCAGAAATTATAGGGTACAAGTAGCCTATAAAATTGGACTTGCATCTCTTACAATAGAGTTATCTTACAAATCTTGAGCCTTCATAATTCCTTGATAAGAAAGTATATCCTGAATATTAAAAACAGGATTTATATACATGTCAGAAGGTAATTCAAGGAGATAAGCATTTGATTAATATTTCTTAAGAATTTGAATGGGCCACAAAACCCTAGCATGAAGCTCTGTTTGAATTCAAATGAAGACATATTCACATTCGTTATATTCCTTAGTTGAATGTTCATAATTCACTGCATTCGCATATTTATTATTACTTAATTGGATTTGTTGTTTTACTTGTTTATGTAGATTATTAAAATTTTGTACAAATGTGAATGCAACATCAGAAAATAAATGAAGGGAAATATCTGCCAAATCAATTAGTCTTTTTAGGTTATAACCATAAAGAACTTCAAAAGGTATTTTCTGAGTCATTCTGGAAATAGTGCTATTATAAGCAAACTTAGAAGTAGGAAGATGCAAGTCCTATGTGCCAATATTTTTACCTACTAAATACCTTAGCAACTTGCCTAAGATTCTATTAACATCCGTTTGACCATCGATTTGGGGTTGAAATGCAAATGAAAATTTTAATTGTGTTCCAAATAGTTTCCATAGAGTTTACCTGTCTGATACTATTGTAGATGGTAACCCATTTAGTCAAACAATTTTTTTAAAGAAAAGTTTGACTATGTGGGAGGCATCATTAGCTTTTTAGCAGGGTTAGAAATGTGTCATTTTAGAGAAGCAATCAATAATCACAAAAATACTATCATGTCCACGAGGAGTTCTTGGAAAACCTAAAATGAAGTCCATTGAAAGGTCCTCCCAAGGTCAACGGGAATCAGAAGAGCAGTACACTTTCCAACTTTGTGCTTAGTTAATTCTTAACAAAACACAATAGAGAAAACAGGTTCATGTAATTGACCCCACTTTGTGGGATAAAGGCTTGATGTTTTTGTTGTTGTTATTGATCATTAGGAACCCAAGAGTCTTGTCTAGATTATTGTCATTGAATTTTAAGTCTTCTAAGTTGGTCATTCCTAGGTTCAAGCTCAATTGGATTATGAAGCTTAATAGTTAAATTTTATAGTTGGTCTTGAAGAGTTTGAAATATATTTTGAAACACATTAAATTTTTCATCAATAACATCCAATTTTTGTTTTGTGGTTTGATGGAAGTTACTTACATTATTTTAAAGTTCTTCAAATTGATCTATAATGGCAATTTTAGGTGGCAAGTTGATATGCGAGGCGTGTCAAAAAAAATAAATAATGAATGAGACAGATGAGAAGGAAATGCTATGGTTGAGAGAAAGGGAAAATAGAATATATATGCACAATCAGAGTAAAATTAAGGCTAAGAAAACTTCTAGAGGGGGGAGGGGGGTTCTTAGATCCCAAGCTCTTCTTAAACAATTCAAGTCATTTTAACAAAGTTCTATTTAGCCTTAAAAACACCTTGTTTAGCACAATTCATTCTGACGCATGCAACGAAAAAAAATAAAATTTAATAAATTTTACAAAACAAACAATCCTTTCAAATATTAATAAATACTCAATGCATATATTTAAAACGACAATCACGAAAAATATAAGTTCTAGCTATCTTATCTTAATTCTAATTCAAGGAAGGCTTTATGTATGTAGCACACCCTTTCTATTTAAAAAATTGTAAAAATATTTGATGTAAGCAAGCCTTGGGTATGCTAGCTTCTTGGATTCTTTGGTTTTTGGGCTGCTTGTTGCCTCTCGGGTTGGGCCTTGGGCTGCTTTGGTTTTGAGCTGGAAAATTAGGAGCTACTTGGCTCTAGCTCATTAATGCTTGAACTAATGTTAGCTCATTAATATGAAAAGAAATTCTTCTTGTAAGCTCATTAAGTGGAGTTGAATCCTTGCCTTTTTCCCCTTCTTTGTGTCTCCTTAGTTTCTTACTGTGTTGTTTCCCGTGACTGCTTCATTCTCCCTTGCTGGGTGATGGTTATGGTCTCCTGTGCTGCCCCTTCGGTTTCCTCCAGGTGCTGGTCCTATGGTTGCTTTACCTCCCTTTGCTGGTTGCTGATTCTGGTCCCCAGTGTTGCCTTTTTGGTTTCTTCCTTGGATTTTTTCCCGTGGCTGCTTCTACCTGGTTCCTGTGCTGTCATTTTGGGTGTTGTTCTGGAATAATTTCTGGACTGGTTTGGGATGTTTGACTCCCTCTTTCCTACATCAATTGGTGGTTGTTTGGTTCCTGTTTCTGTCCAGACTCATGACTCGATTGTTTGGTTTTTGGGAGCCTTAAATGATGCCATTTTTCCAAGAGTTTCTACTGTTTTTGTTGGTTGTTTTGGACAGCTATTTTATGTCTTTTGAGCTTCTTTTTGTCTATTTATAGGGATGTTTTGTGGCTGTCTAAGAGTTTTTTTTTTAGAGAGCTTATGATGTGATTTTTGGAACTAAACTTGCGCGTTTCTAGGATAGCTTGCGAGCTATGCCTTTTCTCTCCTTCTTCTTCTAGGAAAGCTTGCAAGCTTGTCATCCTTCATCTCGGCTTCTTATCTCCTTCTTCTCTCCACAAGTATCGGTGTCACTTGTATCCTTCTTCTCAATCCAAGAAAGCAAGTTTAGGTGTTTGTTTCATTTTAAAAGTTTGTAAGCGTAAAGAGTTGTAAGTGTCTTTCTATCAACATTTAAAATTGCGCAATAAAAGGCGCGCCTCAGCGCAATTTCAACCAAATAAGCCTCAAAGCCTACGCAATAAGTTTAGTTTATGAGGCTTACGCCTCAAGTTTACTGAGGCGTGCCTCGCCTCATATATTTAAGGCGGCGCCTTTTTAAAATTTAACCTTTTTTTTTTCAGTTCGGACCCTAGTTGCCGACGTGGCGCGCCTAGTGAAATGTCGACGTGGCATCAACATTTAAACCCTTGTAAAGGTCGAATGGCGGAGTCGACGTTTCGATTTTCAAGTTACAGTAAACTTTCGAACTTTCAAGCATTCACCCGGAGGAATTTCAAGCATTCTTCACTCAGTTTCTTCTAAGATGGCGTCACCCCCAAAGAAAAAGGTAACTTAATGCTATGTTTTCTGTTTCGTAATGCGTATTTTATGGTTATGCTCT